CTGTTTTGGAGGCTCTGATCTGCTTCAGTTTGGACACTGTCCTCTTTACCCGCTATATAGTGATCATCAGAGGTTCCTTTTACTGCTTTCCTTTTTCATATACCTAGGACTTATTCTTTTCTGTTCTTCCTTATTTTGGTAGAATGCCTCCTTCAGTAGATTTCTGAGACAGAGTGTATGGGACGTAAAAAAAAAAGTTTATTTTAGAAAATCACACATGTATAAAAGTAGACCTAATAGTAGAACCAACTCCAGTGTACCCATCACTTGGTTTCAACAGTTACTGTGGCCATTCTTGTTTCATCTTTATTCCAACTAGTCCTTCTTACTACCATTTTGAGACCTTGCCTCAAAAAAAACCCCAAAAAACAAAAAGTACCATTGTCATGCTTAAAAAAAAAATTAATGATAGGAGGCAACATTTTTGAGATTTTTATATGTCTGAAAATTTTGGTTGAATTAATAGTTGGAGAATATAGGTTTAGGTTGGAAATAATTTTCTTTCAGAATTCCCAGTTACTTCTTTTAGCTTCTGATGTTGCTGTTGAAATCCCACACTATTCTGAGTTCTTTTTTCCCCACAGTCCCCAACCAAAACAGTGCTGTTAGTCTTTTTTGTTTTTGAGATGGGATCTCTCCTGTTAACCAGGCTTGTCCTGGCCTCAAGCAATCCTCCCATCTCTATTCTGATTATTTATCTTTTCTGTGTACCCTTTTTTAAAATTTGTTTCTCTTCTGAAAGCTTATAGGCTCTTATCTTTGTCTGCAGCATCCAGAAATTTCATAATGATGAGCTGTTTTGTTTGAATCTGTTAACACCCATTGTGCTGGAGACTTGGGTTTTGTTTTTTGATTTTTCTTTAGTCCTTTAAGGAGTGGGCAGTGTTCTTGATTTTCTTCACTGTTCCCCACAATGCCTCAAATCTCCTCCTACCCTTCCTTGCTCTTTCAGGAACTCCTTTTGTTTATATGATAGACCTAGAATAATTCCCCAGTTTTATCTTTTCTATTTTATTTTTGCATTTTTACATTACTTTTTGGGTAGATTTTCTTAGCTTTACTTTCTTACCTTCTATTTTTTAATTTTTAATTAAAAAATCTTAATATTTTTAATTTTTAATTTTTTTTCAGGGGGTTTGTTTAAATATCGATAAGATCTCACTGTGTTGCCCGTACGGGTCTTGAACTCCTGGCTTCAAGCAATTAATTCTCTTGCCTCAACCTCCCAAAATGCTGGGATTACAGGCAAGAATTGCCACACCTGGATACTATTTTTAATTTTTAAAGTCTCTTTTTTGTTCTCAGAATATTTCCTTTTATGGCAATCCCATTTTCATTTTATAGTTTTTATATCTTTTCTTACCTCTAGAACATAGTACATCCTTGCTTAACATTGTAGATAGGTTCTTGGAAACTGTGACTTTAAAAGAAATGACCTACAGCAGTCTTCAAATAATATCCTTTACTTTGACATAGTTTCATTTTAACAGTGAGGGAAAAAAATTAGCTTGGTTATGCATCATATCACTTAAAGTCACAGTTTCTAAGAACCTATCAATGCTGTTAAGGGCGTACTGTATTCTTTATAATTTGATGGTTGTGATAGTGATGGTGTTTTTTTTTCTTTTTCTTTCTGTATGGCTTATTATTTCTTCCTGATTTTTTTTTTTAATGTCTTGTGTGCTTTGGTTTCTTATAATTTACAAGCTTTTCTCAGATGCCTTTTGATACTTGGTTATCTGTTATATTTAAGAGATGGGAATAAAGTAATCGGAAGCTCCGAGGGCATGGGTAGAACTGTAGACTGTGGCCGGGCGCGGTGGCTCACGCCTGTAATCCCAGCACTTTGGGAGGCGGAGGCGGGTGGATCACGAGGTCAAGAGATCGAGACCATCCTGGTCAACATGGTGAAACCCCATCTCTACTAAAAATACAAAAATTAGCTGGGCATGGTGGCGCGTGCCTGTAATCCCAGCTACTCAGGAGGCTGAGACAGGAGAATTGCCTGAACCCAGGAGGCAGAGGTTGCGGTGAGCCAAGATGGCGCCATTGCACTCCAGCCTGGGTAACGAGAGCGAAACTCCGTCTCAAAAAAAAAAAAAAAAAAAAAAAAAAAGAACTGTAGACTGTGAGATTTACTGTTAGAGTGATCTGGCTGGTCTGTTTCATTGAAGATACCCTAATGTCAGTATTTTTAGGTCTTTCCTGTCAGGTTGGTCAGATTTCCTAGAGAAGACTCCTTAATTCTGTTTTCTAGAATGTATAATAGGGCTGACTCCCAGTGTTCTTGGAGCCAAGTAGATGATGAGGGCCTAGACTGGAATCTTGAGAATTTGGGGGGTTGGAGTGTCTGTGTGTGTGTGTGTGTGTGTGTGTGTGTGTATTTATTATTGTACTCCTACTCCTACCTGAACCTCATGGCTCCCAGATCAGATACTCTCTGTTTTAGACTGTCTAAAGATTAAAACTCCAGTCTGCTGCTGGGATGTCGAAGGAGTAATCACTTGACTGCTGAGAATATAGGAGAGAATGTTTGTATAATAATTTCTTAAAACATACTTTTGATCAGTCACTCCTAGAATGAATTTTTTAGCCTTTTGAGAATTTTGCAGCATAAATCAGGTTGGTTCTAGGTGAGTGCTGTTTAATAGAATTTGCTGTGATCATGGAAATGTTCTAAATCTGCGCTGTTCAATATGGTAGCAAGTAGACGTGTGGCTGCTGAGCACTGACTGTAACTGATAAGCTCAATTTTTATTTTTATTTATTTAAATTGAAATAGCCACATTTGGCTGTGTCTACTATACCTGGACAATGCAATTCTCAGCTTTTCCCATCATTAGCTTAGGATTTAGCATTCTCAGATCACTTTCTATTTGTCTACCAGCTGCTTTGCCTTCGTTTTCTGTTTCGTTTTCTCTTCAGTTCTTCTTCTTGTCCTTATGTGTTTGTGACTTTAAAATATAGATATATCTTTACTATAATTTTATGAGATTTTGGAAAGGAGTTAAAATACATGCAAGTGTTCACTTTGCCATCTTAAATGGTGTTCTTTATACAGTGTGATTTTAAGGCTCCTAATCCAATTCCTGCCTTTAGACTGTATTTTACTTAAATCATGATGCCTAGCTGTTGGTTCATTCATTCTAGAAATTCTAATTCTACTAATGCTACATATGACTGCCTATCTTTTATTTTTACATCTATATCAACATTGTTTCATGTGAGTTTTACTTTTGTATAAAAACATTTGGGTTCTGGCCAGGCATAGTAATTTATGCCTATAATCCCAGTACTTTGGGAGGCCAAGGTGAGAGGATCACTTGAGCTCCAGAGTTTGAGACCAGTCTGGGCAACATAGTCAGACCCTTTCTCATTTAAAAAAAAAAAAAAAGTCTTTGTTCTTTTATTTAGCTTTGATTTCATTCTATACTTTTCATGTTTTATCTCTGTAATTTATTTTAAAATTTGTGGCATATACTACCATGCTGTGACTGCCACAGACACTTACATACGTATTATCTTTTTTTTTTCTTTTTTTTGAAAAAGAGTCTCACTCTGTCACCCAGGCCAGAGTGCAACAGCACAATTTTGGCTTACTGCACTCTCTGCCTCCCAGGTTCAAGCAGTTCTCCTGCCTCAACCTCCCAAGTAGCTGGGATTACAAGCATGAGCCAGCACACCTGGCTAATTCTTGTATTTTTTTAGCAGAGATGAGGTTTTGCCACATTGGCCAGGCTGGTCTTGAACTCCTGACCTCAGGTGATCCACCCACCTCCCAAAGTGCTGGGATTACAGGCATGAGTCACCACACTCAGCTAACACTTAAATACTTGTTATCTTATTGACTTAGTTATTGAGTTGAAATTATTATCTTAGAATATATTTCCTGAATTCTTAATGTGGGGTATGTGTCTCTTTTTTAACCATATTTTTTTCTGATTAGATAAATGATAAAATTGGAAAATGTTTGAAAAATATGGAAAATGAAGAGAAAATCTACCATAATACTGTTACCTACAAGATAACTATTATTAACATTTTGGAATATACCTCTCCCTCACCTGCTTATGCAATATATGTATTTCTCTCTTCAACAGTCACAAGTAATTAGTAAAAGCTATTTCATAATTTTTTTTTTTACATAATCCACTGTAAATTTTTAATAGTAATTTTTTTTAATGACAAAAGGAAAATACGAGGTGGCTTTTTCCCCCTTGTATCTCTTGACCTTTATTTATTCAACAATATTGACAAATAAATTTTTTTTCTTTTTTTGAGATGGAGTCTCTCTCTGACACTCAGGCTAGAGTGCAGTGACACGATCTCAGCTCACTGCAACCTTCTCCTGGGTTCAAGAGCTTCTTCTGCCTCAGCCTCCTGAGTAGCTGGAACTACAGGCAACCACCACTATGTCTGGCTAATTTTTGTGTTTTTTAGTAGAGATGGGGTTTTACCCTGTTGGCCAGGCTGGTGTCGAACTCCTGACCTCATGATCCGCCCACCTCAGCCTCCCAAAGTGCTAGGATTACAGGCATGAGCCACATCGCCCAGCCAATATTAACAAGTAAATTTTGATGAATTTAATTTTTCCTCAAAAATATTATTGAATACTCACTATGTGTGACATGCTGTGCCGAGCAAAGCAGCTGCAAAGTTGTTTCAGGTATAATTCTGCCCCTTGTTATTGGACCAGGGTTCATATTTTGACCATGATAAATTAAAACAAGGTCAGCTTCTTTAATAAATAAGGTTTTTTTTAGATTGAGTTTTAAATTGGCAGATTTTTATAGAATTGCAATCAGAACTGCAATCTGAAGAAAATGGTGATATGATTTCAGACTATGTAAGAATATGTTAAAGGTATAATAACCTCTTTAATCTTGCTTATTTGTACAGTATTTGTCAAGTCAGTTCCTTAAATCTTCATGAAAGTCTTGGAATTCAAATATAGGGAAATTTCTTTTAAGGGATGAAAAATGCTTTGTTTTGTTTCATAGGTTAAGAGCAGGATTATGTGATCGCTGTGCAGTAACTGAAGAACATATGCGGAAAAAACAGCAAGAGTTTGAAAATATCCGGCAGCAGAACCTTAAACTTATTACAGAACTTAGTGAGTTTCCTTTAATTTATTAATTATTTAAAGTATAGTGTATTGTTTTTAAGACCTATTAGTAAATTGGTTGTCATCAAATGGTTGTTTACATATGTTTTTCCTTATTTAGTAAAAGTTCAAATGTCCTTTTTTGTACTTTTTGTAGATTTAATCTCATGCTTATTTTATTAAGAAATAGGATACAAAAAGGTTGTGCAAATACTGTCCACATTGGTCTTAAAGTCATCTGTTCTAAGATAAGAAGTAGGTTTTTTGTTGGACATGTCCATATTTGCTTCTTTAGTTTTATCTTATTTCATGTAACTTTAGTACTTAGTAAAAAAAACAAAGCAGGCAATTTAGTATTCTATACTTGGTTTCTCTCTTGGTATTCACGACATACTGTTTTTATAAGTATACTGTTTTCAGTTTATTCTCCTTACCTATTGACTGTAGAGTTTTTCTACATTCTTAGCTGCCTTCTTTTAGCTTTTAATACTTACGTTAACCTTAATTCTCTTTTAACCATTTGTTTCTTTTGGTGACCATCACCTGGATTTCCCTTAAGCTACTCACGATCGATGTATTGAAAATCTAATTAATTATCTTCTTTTCCAAACTAATTCTGCCTTCTATTTTTTTTCTGTTAATTATATTGTTATCCTCTGGCTATTCAAACAAGAATATATGAATATATGCTCATTGTTTTAAAAAGAGGTAAGAAAGAATATAGCTTTATTCTGCTCCCAGAGGTAACTACAGTTAATAGTCTGATATGTGTCTGTCTAGGTCCAGGTTTGTCTGTCTCTGTTCCTTATTAGACCTTGCTTCCCTCCCTTCTCTTTTGAATTTTAGTGGGATCATATTATACTTTGTGTTTTAATGTGTTATTTCACTTTAGACTATATCTTGGAAGTCTTTACATGTCAATATAAAGACTGTTATATATATATATCTGTTACATAGATTCTGTGGTGTATATAGGTGAACAGGTGCATATATTTAGGAATGTAAGAATATTATCAATGAGTAGAAAATTGTTACATCTCAGTAAATATATAGTTGTTTCTTTTCTGTGGGGTATTGGTTCCAGGACCCAGACCCATACCAAAATCCTTGGATGCTCAAATACCTTATATAAAGTTGCATACTATTTGCTTATAACCTACCCACATTCTCCTGCACACTTTAAATCCTCTCTAGATTACTTATAATACCAAATGCAGTCTCTACACGTCACTTCATTTGTGCGAATTAAATGTATTCGGTGTGTGACAAATTCAAGTTTTGCTTTTTGGAACTCTGTGGAATTTTTTTTCCCAAATATTTTCTATCCACAGATTCAGAACCTACAGATACAGAAGGCCAACCGTAGTTGAGATCCACAGTCATATTATCGTTAGTACTGCTGGAAATAATCTCCAGTAATGTCTACATATTTAATATATTTCCAGCAACTTTATCTAAAAAATAGAGCGAAAAACTCCAAGCAGGCAAAAAAGCTTGTCTAGGTGTTAAAGTATGAGACAACATTTTTTTAAATGGCTGCATTGTATGCTATAGTTAGGTGTCAGTTTTTAAGCTCTTGTCACATTAATGGACTGCTCAACTTTTTGTTTGAATGTTTGAGAATTTTTATTTCCTTATGTCTTCTTCATATTTGGGCAAAATTAATAATATTCAATCTGGTGGGTGAAGAGTGATACTTTTTTAAAATTGGCATTCTCTGTTACTGTTCTGGTCAAGTATTATTTTATATGATCGCCTTCTTGGGTGAATGGCTTATTTATTCTTTGCCCAGTCTTAAGTTGCCCTATTTGCTGTTCATATTTTTTAATTAACTAAGTTATTTACATATTAGTGTAGGATTATTACACTTTGGTAGACATACTGTGCATATATTTTCTACCTGTTACCTGTTGACTTCATTTTTTTTTTTTCTTTGAGACATTGTGTTACTTGTTGCCCAGGCTATAGTGCAGTGATGCAATCTCGGCTCACTGCAACCTCCACCTCCTGGATTCAAGCAATTCTCCTGCCTCAGCCTCCCGAGTATCTGGGACTACAGGCGCACACCACCATGCCCAGCTAATTTTTGTATTTTTAGTAAGAGACAGGGTTTCATCATATTGGTCAGGCTGATCTCAAACTCCCAACCTCAGTCAATCCACCTGCCTTGGCCTCCCAAAGTACTGGGATTACAGGCATGAGCCACCGCACCCAACTTCATTTTATAACTACTTGGCATGTAGAAGTTTTGTATATTATCTTGTTTAGAAAGGCTTTCTCTACCCTCAAGAATATAAAAATATTCTCCAATTTTTGTACTATATGTATACATACACAAGTAAATTTGCATATTTAATCCATGTGGAATTTTTAACATGGCGTGTGAAGTAGAAATTTACCATCTTTAGAGTATACAACCACTCATCCTCAAGCTTACTGTCCCATGGTCAAAATATGGCAGGTACTTTTTTAGGCCTCGTGACTGCGTTCATACCAGAAGGAAGAAGCAGCAGCAAAAGGCTGAAATGGGCCTGCCAGGAGAGTCTTTTTTAAAAAAAAAAGCTTTGAACAGCCACCCAATAACTTTTGCTTCCATCTCACTAGCTAGGAACCACCACCACATTCCAGCTCATCCCCATCATTGGAAGATGACTAAGGATTTGAAGCCTTATGTCAGGCAACCTTTCTGACCTCTTTCATTAACTTTATTTTGTTGCCAATTGTCTAGGTAAAAATAGCATTTGCAAATGGTGACAATTTTATTTTTTCTTTAATAATTTTTATAGTTTCTTTTGGTGATTGTTTTTCTTTACATACTTCATTGGCCTAAGGGGCTTTAGGATGCTGCCCAGAATAGCAGTTGTTACATAAGGGAAGACTAGAATATATTACCTTTAAGTGTGCTGTGGCCTTCTAGTAGATACATGAAATTAAGTTATGGACATTTTCTTCTATGCCTCCTTTGCTAAGTTTTGCTTAATTGTGAATTTATAAAATTCTTAGCATCTGTTCATGTGAGTTTTACTGATAGCTTTTCTATGCTGAACCAATGTTTAATTTCTCTCTTTTTTTTTTTTGAGATGGAGTCTCGCACTGTTGCCCAGGCTGGAGTGCAGTGGCACAATCTCTTCTCACTGTAACCTTCGCCTCCTGGTTCAAAAGATTCTCTGCCTCAGCCTCCCAAGTAGCTAGGATTACAGGTGCCTGCCACCACACCAGCTAATTTTTTTGTATTTTTAGTGGAGACGGGGTTTCACCGTCTTGGCCAGACTGGTCTTAAACCCTGACCTTGTGATCTACCCACCTCAGCCTCCCAAAGTGCTGAGATTACAAGCATGAACCATCACACCTGGCCGGAACTAGGAAATGTATAGACAGGAAGATAGATAAAATATTTCATAAGCATATGTTAAAATTTCAAATTTGTACAATTTGAGTAATAGGAAAGTTATGAAGGTGAAATCCCAAACAAAGTTGTTTTAAGAATACATGACACTAAGGGCTTTAGGATTATGAATTGTTAGTGTTTCTATCTGTTGTGATTTGGAGAGATTGAAAGAATACTATCACTGCTGCCACCCTCCCAGAATCTCTTTTTTCATATGCTTCGTTTTTCTTCTTGTCATTTTTCTTGCTTTTTTGGTGTTACTTTTTCCAGTTACTGAATTTTGAGGGTATTAGCCTTCTTACTTCATTTTTTGTTTGAAAATTTCTTTCTATTCTTTTTGATCAACCTTGAACTTCTAAAATGCTTTTTTTTTTTTCTCTTGAGATGGAGTCTCACTCTGTCTCTCAGGCTGGAGTGCAGTGATGCTATCTCTGCTTACTGCAACCTCTGTCTCCTGGGTTCAGGTGATTCTCTTGCCTCAGCCTCCTGAGTAGCTGGGATTATAGGCACGTGTGACCACACCCAGCTAAATTTTGCATTTTTAGTAGAGATGGGGTTTCACCATGTTGAACAGGCTAGTCTCGAACTCCTGACCTAAGTTGATCCACCTTATGCATTTTTAAAGTTAAAATCTTAATTCTCTTCTGAATAATACAAGTATTTTAAAGCACTTAACTTTGATCTTCTCCTCTTACATGCTGCTTTTGCCCAGTATTTCATTTCTTTATAGTTTTTTTTTTTTTTTTAGCCCTAACAAGCTATATACTTTTTAAAAAATTACTTTTAAGTAAAAGTTCCTTTTAATTAGCCCAAGGGAGAATCCTTACCTTGCTGATAGTAAATCTTACTGGGACCTTACTTTAATGACTGAAAATGGGAGAAAAGGACACCTAGTTAGAGAGCTTTTCTATATGGATAGTTCATCTTCTGAATGTGAAGGTGCCTTCTCTCGTGTCCACTCTAAGTTACTTGGGAGCACTGCTCTGATTTCCTTGTCTCAGTATTTATTAATAACTCTAATGTCAAAACTTCTAGACATTTATCCTCACAACTTACAGCCTAAGGGCAACTATTAGGCACCCTTTATTTACCCATTTAGCAATCTGTGGGCTGTACTGCCTCTGATACTAGAATTGATATGAGATCCTGCTTGGAAAACTCCCTTTTTTAAAGGCCCTTTTTCTTTGGATTTTACCATCAATCTGAGCCTATTTTTAAATATTTCATAAATTGTTTATAGTTCTGATCTGCTAGTGACACCCTTTCTGGCTTTTTAATATTGCAGTAGAGTTGTTTTAGAGTGTTGTCATTTTATTTGGATTTGGAGAGGGAAAATCAAGTAAACCATCTTAATCAGAAATCTGAGGTCATCTTTGACTTCTGTCTGCCCTACAAAGAATAAGTTGCCAAATACTACTGATTTTACTGCTCTTTACTTCCTATTTATACACCTCTATATAGGTCCAGATACTCATTTCTTTTAATGACCACATGACTTTTTGTCTTGTCGATACTTTTTTTTTTTGAGATGAAGTCTCACTCTGTCGCCCAGGCTGGAGTGCAGTGGCGCAGTCTCAGTTCACTGCAACCTCCGCCTCCAGAGTTTAAGCAATTCTCCTGCCTCAGCCTCCTGAGTAGTTGGGATTACAGGTGCCTACCACCACACCCGGCTAATTTTTGTATTTTTAGTAGAAACAGCGTTTCACCATGTTGGTCAGACTAGTCTCGAACTCCTGACCTCGTGATCCATCTGCCTCCGCCTCCCAAACTGCTGAGATTGCAGGCACAAGCCGCTGCGCCTGGCTGTCAATACTTTCTTCTCACATTGGTATATGCTATATGTACTAACAAATCAATCTTCCCATTATTCATCCATGAAAAATGATTCCTCGTAATCTGTAAGATAAAGTTTTAATTTCTTAGCCTGCTATTGAAGCTTTCTACCATTTATTATACCCAGTCTTTCTCTGTTCCACTGATTCTCTCTGTAGAATAGTCTCCTGTCCAGCTCAGTTGCTCTTTCTTTGATGCATGCCTTCCTTATCTTCTCGAAGGCACAAAGTAACCTCTTTCTCCTTGGAAATTTCCTTGGGACTTTATTTGTACTTCTCTAATGCCCTTGTCACTTTTAAACCTATAAAACATGTTTATATAATATCTTGTCTCCTTTATTAGACTACACATTGCTTTAGGTTACTGTCTATATCTTAATTTTTTTGGATCCTCCACAAAAGTAGTTTAATAACTTCACATGTTGTAGATAGTTCAAAAAATGTACCCAGTGTAAGAAAATGTGTTTAGACTTATAAACCACTAAATTATTAACAGATTTTTAGAATATGATTAACCTTCTTTGGTAAAAGTTCATTGTATTTACTGTGACTTGATTTCTGAGATATACTCCTTTTGCTAAAACACATACTTTACCAGTGACATCATACTAAGCATTGATGAGAGTTTTATGCTGGTTCCAGTGGAAATTACAGCCCACAACTAGATTTCTGCTTTATAAATTAAATAAATATAGATAGAAAAATTTGGTGGAGATTCAAACAGATACTACTTCAGTGGATATATTTAACTGATACCATAATTATTCATGAAACACAGAGTATGACTCAGATGAAAATTTGACTTGATAAGTGTGTTTGTTATAAAAATTACACTGATATTCAGCTTTTTTTTTTCCCCTGGGAGACTGCCACTCTGTCACCTAGGCTGGAGTGCAGTGGCGTGATCTTGGCTCACTACAACCTCCACCTCCTGGGTCCAAGTGATTCTCTTGCCTCCACCTTGAGTAAGTGAGATTACAGGCACACGCCATCATGCCTGGCTAATTTTTGTAGCTTTGGTAGCGACAGGGTGTCACCATGATGGCTAGGCTGGTCTCAAACTCCTCACCTCAAGTGATCCACCCACCTCAGCCTCCCAAAGTGCTGGGATTACAGGTGTGAGTCACTGCACCCAGCCTATTTTATTTTTATGATCAAATTAATTTCAAAATAAGTGACTTTTGCTAAAATGGTATTTGAAATTAGTGGGACTGAGTAACCAGATGGAATTCTTTCTTGTCTTCAGTATGAATAATTGTACTCCGTGGTACACGAGGTACTCTCTCTCTTTTAAAAGCCTGCAAGCATTACATAAAATTATCAGTTAATCAGTTACATGGAACTGGCACAGTGTGAGATGTAGTACTCCCTACCTAATAGCAAATTAGTTTTGCACACTAGTGTTAACCCTGAATAAACATTATGATTTAGGATTATTAGAAGTCCTAATTTCTTCATAAATGCTGTCATAATTTATTTGAAAGACTGACATAGATGTTAATATAAATATATTATTTGCCTTCTTTTTCACGTTGTTTTCAGTGAATGAAAGGAATACTCTACAGGAAGAAAATAAAAAGCTTTCTGAACAACTGCAGCAGAAAATTGAGTAAGTATTTTCCCCCAACCTTTTTCCTTTATTTTACTTAGCTATACAAACCATGACGATATGATGAGTTGCAGATTTCATTTTTAAAATTATGAAGTGTTCTGCAATTAAAAAATACAAAAATCACTACATTTTTGTGTTTTGAGAGTATAGTATGAATGCATTTCTTAGATTAATGCTTGAATAAAGTGTCAACTGTCAACATTGCAGCTAAAACATTTTAATTTTTATAATGATTTATTATAAATAATACATTATTAAAATACTTATATTTCAAACAGATGTTGAGTCTTGTTAGCTCCCTTCCAGCCCTGTCCCAGAAACTTCATAAGAGCCAACTGAATGTTTTCTCTTATATAGTACTTAGGCCTGTAGAACTTCTTCCTTCCTCTATTCTTCTTCCCTTTCTCTTAAAGAATAAAAACAGTAGCTTTTATCTCTTGATCTTATGTGCCACTTCCTCTTATGTGTGTTTTATGTTTATTATTTCTAATTCTCACTGTGGCTCTGCAAAGTAGTTTTATTATCCTCACTTTACAAATGGGGAAATCAAAGGTCACAAAGTCAAGTAACTTGCCTATCATCTTATAGCTAGTAGGTAATAGGACTATCACTCAGACCCATATATATATATATTTTTTCCTTTATCCAACACTGGATGTTTTTCCTTTTCTTTTTTTTTTTTTTTATCTTTTTTTTTTTTTTTTTTTTGAGACAGAATCTCACTCTGTCGCTGAGGCTGGAGTGTAGTGGTGCAGTCTTGGCTCACTGCAACCTCAACCTCTGCCTCCTGAATTAGAGCAATTCTCCTGCCTCAGCCTCCTGAGTAGCTGAGATTACAGGTGTGCACCACCATTCCCTGCTAACTTTTGTATTTTTGGTAGAGACAGGGTTTCACCATGTTGGCCAGGCTGGTCTTGAACTCCTGACCTCAGGGAGTCCACACACCTCAGCTTCCAAAGTGCTGGGATTACAGGCGGGAGCCACTGCACCCAGCCAGAGTATTTTTCTAGATATGATCTGACTAATGCAGAGCAGAGATATGACTAGCTTTCAGTTCCCATTTATATAAAGCTTATGTACTATTTTTGAAAACTCAGGATTCAGTATGGTCCTAATGGCATTATAGAGTTCCTAAAGATCATGTTGCGTTTGAGTAGACATTACAAAACTTCGGTAAAACTATGTAGATGAAACATACTATTTGGCTTAGAATAGTTATTTATGTATAAACACATCTCGCAAATGGAATTATCATTCTTACCAGTATACTTTTAGTATTATGGATATCCAATAGAATTCTGATATTCCTCCCATGTGATCAGTCTACTTTTTGAGGAGAGATAATAGATAAGGAAAAGAACCTATGGAATCAGACTGAAGTTACAAAATGTTTATAAGAAAATGTCAACACTTTCTAATATTAATAATGCAATATAATAAAGAGAGAACATGGGACACAGATCCACAATCTGTTACATATAACTCCAAAACCCAAAGGGTTATTTTTGAAATGTTATTCACAACCTAACTTCACTGCAATGGCAGAATGCTATTTATAGATTTTATCCCACTTCATGTGAGTATTCATGTTTTGCTGTGAAAAATCAATGGGTTTGATTACAGGATGATGCTTTGTATTCCACTGGAGCTAGTATGTAATTATGTATGTATGCTCTGTATTATCTTTCATTAAAAAAAAAAATTTAGAATTTAGAATCCCATCTGGTTCCAAGGATTTCAGATAAGTGATTGTTGACTTACATTACTTTATATGAAGTGATTATGTATATACATAGCTTACGGTATTTTGAACACATCAGCCTTGATCTTTATGAGTACCAAAACGGTGAGATACCAAGTGTGTAGAAGTAGAAACCAACGTGTATAAATTATATTGAAACTATATCATGTCATTTGCTTGGTAGAAATGTGAATTCTAATTAGTTTAGAATTAATTTTCAGCGTTCTCAAACATACACATTTTCCTGTTAAAGCTCATTGATATTTTAGAAAAGAAGGAAAGCCTAAAGTTTGAAATTATAGGAAAGAGTAATCATATAGATGAGCTCAAGACATATATTTTATTTAGGACATGCTTAGTCAAAAGAGTATAGGAGATGATCTGATTGTGTCTTTTATTCTCTTCTAAAATTTCAGATAGTTGTGATTCTCATGAACCAACTTCTTTTGTAGCTTGGTCTCAAACAAATTGCATTTGCTTCGCAGTTTTTTTTTTTAAAGCAAATATGGTCTTGTAAAGGCAACCTAGTTTTCTCTGACAACTTAAACCACTATCCTATTATGCTATTTGTGCCTGAAATTCCCCTGAACTTTAGAAAAAATGTTATTTGACTTATGCTTCTGCTTGTTAAATGCAGTAACTCTAACTCTTCTGAGCTAGTTTTGATGTTACAGATGGCTTATATGGTAGAACGGTTATTAGTGACAACAAAATTATTCAGTAAAATTTTGCCATTATAAAGTTAAATATATATATAAATAAGCTAGGTATTGAGGTCATCACTCTCTTTGTTTTAGGAAATAGATGTGATGGGTCAGTGAAAGTCAAAGGAGTCTATACACATAAGAGTTCAAAGGACTGTAGAATTGGTTTCATTCAGCCCTCTTCTAAATTGAATTCCTTATACAACTTCGTTAACAAATAGCTATTGTTTGATCATGTCTAGTAGAAGTTTACTGTTTCCCAAGCCTATTTAAATTTAGTGAGACAAAGTTATTAGAAAATTCTTTGTAAGTTTATATAGAAATTACACTGCTTATAAGTTATACTTCTTGATTCTGACTTTGCCTTCCGGGACCATCTTAAGTCTATTCACCTTTGCTACTTGACAACTCTTTTGATGCATGAAGACAGCTACCATGGCCCTCCTGAATATTGTTTTCTCTAGAGTAAATATCCTCTGTTCATTTATGTAGCATTACTTGGACTCTTCAAATTGCGAATTTTTTAAAATGTTTTAGTTTGTCAATATCTGAATTGAGAATTCAATATTCTAGAGATAGCATGATCAGTGGAGCAGTACTGTCACCTCCCCTACGATGGCTATAACATTACTTTAAGTTTAAATTATGTTTTTAACTGGAAATACAAGTTCTTCAGAGAAGAAAAACAAAAAGCTGAATATTTAAAACTTTTTTACAGACTCATGAAGGGAAACCCCAGATCCATAATTGTAGGTCTCTGGGGAAGAAACCAACTAAGACAATTTTGACAGGAATTTAAGAGGGAGCAGGGACCCACAAAGCAAACAGCTCAAGCCATCAGAGGGAAAAGTGAAAGGAGGACAAGTGTGTGTAATTATTTTAACCAAAAGCTGTGGTGTCAACTCTTTCTTTTTTTTTTTTTTTTTTCAGAAAATCGGTGACACTAATGTTTTAAAGAATGAACTCGGTTAATGTATGGAGTTTTGTTTTTCCTCTTATGACAAAGGAAGACAAAGCTGGCACTCCTTTACTTAGTTTAGGAAACTCTAGTTAGAGTTAGTTTTGTGTTTTTGTTTTTTCCTTTTATGATCCCAGCTACTTCTACATTGACTCTGCCAGGAAATCAATTTCTTCTCGTGACTTATTCATGTTTCAGGTTGAATTTTTATGACTAATAGGCGAGCAGTCTGTGACGTGATTAGTTAAAGCTAGGTCAGATAGATTTCACACTCCATTAATTTACAAGCCTTTCTCATATGACTTTAACTTACTGTTTTTCCAGAATAAGAGTAGAATTACAGGAAGAGATTAAAAATTAGATATTAGATCTATTGCACAGAATGGTGATTTAATAAATAATGATTGTATATTTCAAAATTGCCAAGTAGCTTTTAAATGTTTTTACTATAAAAAAAAAAAAGATATGTGAAGTGATAGATGTTAACTAGCTTGATTTAATCATTCTACAGTGCAAAGATGTATCAAAAAATGTTGTTGAACCCAGTAAGTAGTTACAATTATTTGTCAATTAAAAACAAAATTTGGCTGGGTGCAGTGGCTCTCACTTTGGTAATCCCAGCACTTTGGGAGGCCAAGATAGGCAGATCACTTAAGGTCAGGAGTTCGAGACCAGCCTGGGCAACATGGTAAAGTCCCGTCTCCATTAAAAATACAAAAACTAGCCAGGTGTGATGGCACGAGAACCTGTAGTCCCAGCTACCCAAGGAGGCACAGGAATCACTTGAAGCGAGGAGGCAGAGGTTGCAGTGAGCCGAGATCATACCACTGCACTCCAGCCTAGACCACAGAACAAGACTCCATCTCAAAAACATAAAAATAAAATTTTAAATAATTAGGTATTTGCTCTAAAGATTGTTTCTTGGTATAAAATGGAGGATTAAAGGCCGCAAATAATATTGATATCATTCAGGAAATTAAAGTTTAAATCTTTGTTGAAAAAAATTAACCTTTGTCTTCCAATTAATGCCTCTTTAAAGTCTCTGTTGGTCACAGTTTGTATAGTTCTTACTATATAACTTTTTATTTGGAAATACTATTGCAAGTTGATGTGAGTCTAATAGGACAGACTGATTTGATCATGTAAAGCCTAGATGTCTGACAGACTGGTAACAATTGGTTGGCAAATAAGGTCAGTTATGGTTTGACATGGGAAAGTCGGTTAACTTTATTTTTACTCAATATTCACAATTTAATTCAAACCAAATCTTTCAGTACCATTGGTCCTAAATTGAGTTAGGCAAGAACATATGCCTAGATCCACATAAATTGATTCTCTAGTGGAATCTGGGAATGTCTCATATTCACTCAACAAATGTTTTTGCCATACCTACTATATGTCTACTGTGGTAGGCTCTTGTGATTTATCAGTGAACCAAAGATCCTATCCTCTTAGAACTTACCTTCTAACAGGTGAGCAATAGATATAATAAATAAATTGTAGCTGGGCGTCATGGTTCACACCTGTAATCCCAGCACTTTAGGAGGCCGAGGTAGGCAGATCACTTGAGGTCAGGAGTTTGAGACCAGCCTGGCCAACATAGTGAAATCCTGTCTCTACTGAAAATACAAAAATTAGCTAGGCGTGTTGTCATGTGCCCATAATCCCAGCTACTTGGGAGACTGAGACACAAGAATCACTTGAACCCGAGAGGCTGAGGTTGCAGTGAGCCGAGATTGTATCACTGCACCGCAGCCTGGGCAATAGACAGAGATTCAGCCTGAAAAACAAAATCTAAATAAATAAAAATGAATAGGTTGCATACTATATTAGAAAGCAATAAATACTGTGGATAAAGATTATAGAGCAGAATAACAGGGAACCAGGTGTGTGAAGGGAGGTTGCAATTTTAAACAGTAAAATTCCAGCAGACTTGAAGGAGATTAGAGAGATAATTAGGTATGTAGATATCTGGGGATGAACATTCCAAGCAGATGGAACAACTGGAGCAAAGTATGTAAAGTGGGAGTATGCTTGGTGTGTTTGGGGAACCTCAAGGAAGAGAGTGTGGCAGGAGTAGAAGAATATAATAGGAAAAAAGGTCAGAGAGGAAATGTGGGAGGGACACCATCAAGTCATGTAGGATCCTTATAGATCAAAGTACTTTGGCTTGTGTTCTCAGTGAAATGAACAGATGTGACAGGGTCTTAATGAGATTTAATTGATAAGTCTTTCTGGTTCGGTGCTTTTTTTGTTTGGTTGGTTGGTTTTTGGTTTTTTTGGAGACAGGGTCTCACTCTGTTGCCCAGGCTGTAGCGGTGTGGCATGATTATAGCTCACTGCAGCCTCGACCTCCTGGGCTCAAGCAACTCTCCCACCTCAGCCTCCCAAGTAGCTGAGACTACAGGCATGTGCCACCACACCCAACAAATATTTTAATTTTTTTTTTTTTTTTGTAGCAATAGGGTTTTGCCTGGGCCTCCCAAAGTGCTGGAATTGCAGGTGTGAGCCACTGTGCCCAGCCGATTTATGTCTTAGTAGGACTCTTGTGACTGCTGTTGAGAGTAAACTATACGGGGACCTAGATAAAAGTAGTAACAGAAACTCAGATTTTGAAGGCTTCTTGTAGACTACGGGTAACACATTTGGTTAACAGTAGGGCCTCTAGGGTCTGACTGCTGAGATGTAAATCCTGACTGTTACTTACCATTTTAGTAAATGACTTCTATATCTTCATTTCCTCATTTGTAAAATGAAAGTAATAATACCTCATAGAGTTGGGATAATTAAACTGATCATTTAAATAGTGCCGGGCAATGTAAACATATAACAGATGTTGATTGTTATCAGTGTTAGTGTTCTCATCCTATATTTGTCAAGCATGCTAATTCTACTACCACCATGTTTAACATTGGTTCTTTCCTTTCCATATGTACTTACAATATTCTAGTTCAGACCACAGACAGAACATCTTGCCTGGACTATTATAGCCACTGTCTAAGTGGTTTCCTGACCTCCTGTCCTTATGTGGCATAATGCTGTTAGATTGTCACATTATATCCATGAATTTAAAACCTTAATTTCTTTCCTCTTGCTTTCTACGTTATGTACACACTTAGCTCATGGCTCTCCTTCATGTAATTCCAGCTTTCCCTTCTCCAACATAAGTACACTGTACTATTTGCCTTTCCTCAAACTGTGGATCCTCTGCTGATCTTGTCTGCAATTTGAAGTACTTTTAATTTCATCTGAAGTGCCACTGACTACTCTTTCTACTTCACTTTTCATAGTAGTATTCCCCACTGGGTACTGTAATCATTTGTGTACTTCTCTAATCCTTAGGTTTGGAACATTAGATGCAAGGAATTATATCCCTTAGAGCTTCATGGTTGTGTTCTGCTGTAATTCCATGCCATGTAGTAAATGTTTTAATATTTATTTAATTGATTTGCTTTCCATTGTCATTCTTCTCTAGGAATGATCAACAGCATCAAGCAGCTGAGCTTGAATGTGAGGAAGACATTATTCCAGAGTCACCGATAACAGCCTTCTCATTTTCTGGTGTTAACCGGCTGCGAAGAAAGGAGAACCCCCATGTCCGATACATAGAACAAACACATACTAAATTGGAGCACTCTGTATGTGCAAATGGTAAGAGCTGGAGTTGTATTTTAGTTCTCTGGTTTTGTAAACCATTGCTCATCTACTAGTTTTTATGTTATTCAATCTAGTGGAAAGAAAATAGTCACTATTCTGGTATCACGTGGTACAAATATGAGTTCAACTACTATTAGTAAAATGACTGAGAAGGCATTTTCTGCCCATGTTATATATAGATACGTGTTGTCTATATGACATGTAAATATGCCATATTTTATAAACATAGTAAATAAATTCTTTTTCTTCTAAAAATAATCCTATGTGTATATATCCAAGTGGGATAGAAGGAAAAAGGAAAGGAACTTAACGTTAATTTTACCTGCTATGTACCTGGTATTATGCTGAGTGATTTGCATATATTATTGCTGTGTTTTAATTCTCATAACAGGCGTGTGAGATAACTATCAGCTCCTTTGTTTTATAGATGAGGAAAGATATGTTTAGAAAGGTTAAATAACTCACTGAAAGTCAACTTGTAGATGAGTCAGAATTCAAATATAGATCTTCCTAGGTCTGAACTTTCCTACTCTCCAGGTCTTTGCCCATGGGTACCCCTGCCATTGGAGCTTTCTATAACTGGCTATTTTTATTTATTATCATTTTTAGGAGTTAATGATAATCAAGAAATGGCGGGTTTTTGTTTTTTGTTTTTTGGGGAGGACAGAGCCTCGCTCTGTTGCCCAGCCTAAAGTGCAGTGGCGTGATGTCAGCTCACTGCAACCTCCGCCCCCTGGTTCAAGGGATTCTCCTGCTTCAGCCTCCTAAGTAGCTGGGATTACAAGTACATGCCACCATGCTCTGCTAATTTTTGTATTTTTTTGGTAGAGATTGGGTTTTACCATGTTGGTCAGGCTGGTCTCGATCTCCTGACCTCGTGACCCGCCCACCTTGGCCTCCCAAAGTGATGGGATTACAGGCGTGGGCCACCAGGCCTGGCAAGAAATAGTGTTATAATGTGTCTACTTTGTGGCTTTTCAGTGGCATGTTTCTAATTCCAGCCTAGTTTATCATTTCTGCTAAATGCTTTAAAACTGCCTTTCACGTAGTCCCATAATTTATTATGTGCTGTGATACAAGTATTCCTTTTAGTATTAATCTAAAACAAACAGTAAAGACTTTAATTTTTAACCTAAACTATTTGCAGCAAGGAAAGCATGGGGGTAGGGAATATATACATAGTTCTAGATATATTTGTTTAATACAAATAAATTGTTGACAGTAAATATGCCTTTAAACAAATAAACAGATCTTATTCTTAGATGTTGGAACATTGGCAGTTTTCCCCTATTTTATAAGTGTTTGTATCACCATCTAGTGGAAAACAAAAGAACTGTTAAAAATCCTACACTTAATAGGAGCTAAGTTAAAATGTAAAATCGTAGATCTAAAATGAATATCCATTGACCTTTTAGTTTGTTGTCAGACAGGACATGAATCATTAAAGATAATCACTGCATAATTTAGATCAGATTTAAATCCACATATAAGAATATTTAGAAAACAATTTCGTATTAGGAAAGTCATTCATAACTAATACAAATGCTTCTGGTTTATTTCTTCTTTGTATGAAAGCAGCATATAACTGTTTAGAAATGTAATTCACTTGCTTTAATCTTGTTCTGATCATTTTTTACTTGGAATCCAAAATTTGGTTTTAAGATGTACGATAACTTTGAGCCATACAAATGATTTTAAAATAATGTTAAGTGCTTTAATGACTAATTAGTCCTGTTCTTTAACTTCCCTTGCTTGCTTATTTTAAGGTTTATAATACTTTTTAATGTTATTCCCAAGTTATAAATAGTAAAACCATTTCACTGTACTTTGCCCTTATTTTGATTTTCTTTGAACTAAATCTTTAAATAGTGGAGTGATTTCTGATAAAGCATGCTTCAGAGTTTCCTTCCCAAAAATAAAAACTCTAAAACAAAGATCATGGAGGTAAGTGATATAGTATACATTAGATTGATTGATCATTTGTTTATTGATTGAGTGAGTTGGGTCTAACCCTGTCATCCAGGGTGGAGTACAGTGGTGTGATCTGTAACTTACTACAACCTGTAACTTACAGGCTGAAGAGATTCTCCTGCCTCAGCCTGCCAAGGTGCTAGGATTACAGGCATGAGCCACTGTGCCCACCCCGGTATACCTTTTAAATTAACCTGCTGATTTCTAACAAATACAAAAAGAAAAGTAACATGAAAATGTTACTACTCTAGGCAGTTTAGATCAGAAGAAGCTCTCTGTTCTAGTCCCCACTCACCCAATGTCTTAACTTAAACAGCTTTGTTTCTTAGTGAAATTAAAGGAGCTTACTTCTTAGAATATGATAATTGTGTCAATAAAGTAGTGCTTATAATGGATTTAAATACAGATAAATACATAAAAATTTTTAATATGAATAAATGAAATAATTTGATAATGCTTTCCATCATCGTTTATTATGTAATCTCTTTTCTTTTTTTCTCTCCTTAGAATTGAGAAAAGTTTCCAAGTCTTCAACTCATCCACAACATAATCCTAATGAAAATGAAATTCTAGTAGCTGACACTTATGATCAAAGTCAATCTCCAATGGCCAGTAAGCAAGATACTGAGATTACTTTACAAGTTTAAAATTTGGTTATTGGTGGGTAAGAGTGACCCACAGTCTAACTTAGACAATATTTTAAAGGTATTATTCATATACTTTTGTTTATATTACTAGTTTAATATCTTTCTCATATTAGAAAGTAATGCTATCCTATTATTAGTTCATATAAATATCCCTAATTATTAACATAAATTACTAATAATTTTAAATAAAGAAGGCTTTACTGTGATTTACTCATTTGTTCAACAAATATATAAGTGTCTATTGTATCCCACGCACTGAATAAAACAAAGCGCTTGTCCTCATGGAGCTTATGATCAAGTTGAGGGAGTAATACGTTGTCTGACATACATTTGTCAGACAAAAGCAAGTGAAGACAAGTGAAGCAGGGTAAGAAGGGATATTAGAAAGCCTCACTTGTAAAGTGATTATTTGCATAGGGACACAGGGAGGGAAGTGAGTCACATGTCAGTCTGGGAAAACGGCACTCAGGCAGAAAGATTAGCAAGCCCAGAGGCCTTGCAGTGAAGATGCCATTTGGTTTGTTTGAGGAATATTAAGGAACCCTGTGTGGCTGAAGCAGAGTGAGTGAAGGGGAGATTGATTTGGATAACAGGAAAAATAGAGTTACCATTTACTGAGATGGAAGAGACTAGGAGCCACAGGTTTATAGTTTGGGGTGGGGGTGGGTAGAAATTAGAAGTTTGGTTTTGGGAATATTCTATTTGAAATGCAAAATCGACATTTGTAAAGTTTGGATTTGTGAGTAGATGTGAGAGTTCAGAGAAGTTTAGGATGGAGACACATATGGAAGTTGTCAGCATGTAGAAGATGAGATTACAAGCAAGTGAGTATAGATGGGGATGAGAGGAAGTCCAAGTACTGAGCCTTGGGGAACTTCATTATGTAAAGCCATGATTTTCAACTTTTCATTTGTTGAAGAACCCCCACCCTAGCCTTTTTAGACATTTTTCCTCCCAATCCCTTCCCCCCTGGAATTTTATTACTACAGGTATACTGTATATCTGTTTAAGTGATATGTGTATGCATGTATGTCTGTGCTTTATACATAAAAGAGTAAGGGGTTTTTTTTGTTTTGTTTTGTTTTGTTTTGTTTGTTTGTTTGTTTGTTTGCTCCTCCCTGCCCCGAACCATTTTTCATTTTTCACTCCCTTAAGAGAAATACTGTAGCTGTTGAGGTTGTGAAAATAAATAGAAACCAACAAAACAGAGAAGGAGCTAGGAAGACTAAAAGTGATGTCTTTTAAGCCAAGTGGAGAGAGGATGAAGGAGTGGTCAACTGTGTTTAACAATGCTAATAGGTCAGGTAAGATGAAGACCTCTTAGAATTGACCATGGGATTTAGTTGTGTGGAGATCATTGAGTGTTAAACTAGTAACATGATAAAAGCCGTTAAGGTGTAATGGTGATCCTCTGAGATCTGTGTCATGTTCAGAGGAAACTGAGGGAAGGGAAAGTGGAAAGAGCATATACAAACAAGTCCTCCAAGATATTTTACAGTAAAGAGGAGGAGAGAACAGGACAGTGGCTAAAGAAGAACATAGGTCCAGGGAGGAGTTTTTCAAGATGAAATATTATAGCATGATCAGCATATACTTAGGCTGATAGGATGATGAAGTAAAGAGGGGAAATTAATAATTCTAGAGAAAGAGGGAACAATTGCAGCATCCTTAGAAAGGTCAGAGGAGATGAGATTCAGAGCCCAGTTGGAAGGATTAGCCAAGGTTAATCATTTTTATTCATTTTATAATAGTGTAAAAGTTACATTCCGAAAGATACAAATCATTTTATATTAACGTGTATCTGTTTATCTGTCCATGAATATGTGTGTATGTGCATGGAGGCTCAGGGTCCAGCAAAGGGTGCTGGGGATATAGCACTTAGTATGGCAGATAGTTGCTTCTGAGCTCTCTAGAGCCAATTCTCTTCTGCTGCTGCCAGGTCTTTGCTCCATCATTTGTTCTGTCTTCCTTATACAGTATCTGCAGTGTCTCTGCTGGCTTATTCTTCCCCGTATACATATATGTTATCTTCCATCTTTAAGAGATAACCCCCCCTTTTAATCATCTCCACCTTTAGCTACAGCTTCTTTTCAGAGTTGAAAAAGTATTAATAGTCTATACTCAATGTCTTTACTTTCTTAATTCCTATTCACTCTGACTCACTGTAGTATGGATTCTATTCCCCCACCCCACCTGTAAGAGAAGGAGAGAGGAGCAAGAGAGAGGGAAGAAGAAAGAGAGGAGAGAGAAAAGTGCTAGAGGAGGCAGGTACAGGGGAAGGGAGGGAGGGAGACGTACAGGGGAAGGGAGGGAGGGAGACGTACAGGGATTGAAGAGAGGAGTATACATTCACATACCCTTTCTTTTATTTTTATTATTATTATTATTATTATTATTATTATACTTTAAGTTCTGGGGACATGTGCAGATCGTGCAGGATTGTTACATAGGCATACACATGCCGCAGTGGTTTGCTGCATCCATCCCCCCATCACCTACATTAGGTATTTCTACTAATGTTATCCCTCCCCAATCCTTCCACCCTCTGCTGTCCCTCCCCTAGGCCCCCTACCCCCCAACAGGCCCCAGTGTGTGATGTTCCCCTCCCTGTGTCCATGTGTTCTCATTGTTCAACACCCACTTATGAGTGAGAACATGTTTGGTTTCTGTTCTTGTGTCAGTTTGCTGAGAATTCACATACCCTTTCTTACTCCTTACACTTGAACTGCCTCTGACTGCAAATGTCATCAGTGTTGCTGTTCTCCAAAATATATGGTACTATGGCTGTCCTATTTCTGTCTCTCTCTTTTTTTGAGACAGGGTCTCTCTCTGTCACCCAGGCTGGAGTGCAGTGGCACAAACAGCTCACTGCGCAGACTTAACCTCCCAGGCTCAAGTGATCCTCCCATCTCAGCCCCTCAAGTAGCTGAGACTACAGGCACGCACCAGCATGTCTGGCTAATATTTATATTTTCGTAGAAACAGGGTTTCACCATGTTGTTGAGGCTGGTCTCACTCTCCTAGGCTCAAATGATCAACCTGCTTCGGCCTCCCAAAGCGTTGGGATTACAGGCGTGAGCCACTGCACCTGGCCTCACTTTCTGTCTCTTTCTGGAGGAATGCCAGTAGTCTGCTCTAACTCATAGGCTAATAAATCCCAAACCTGTATCTCTGATCAAGACTTTTCTTCTGGATTCCCAAGCAATGTATTTACCTGCTGTTGTATATCTCTACAGGGACGTCTTTCAACTTCAGCATGTCTACAGTTGACACTTAACCTGTCAAACCAACTCTTCATCCTTGTATTTGCAGTCTCAGTGAATGACACTATACATGCCTCTTTGGGTCATCCTAGATTTCTGCTTCATCTGTTTTTTCTAAAGAGCATCTAAGTCTTATTGATTCTGCCTCCTAAATATCTGTTTTACGTATTCTTCTGCACTCATATTATACTAGTTTAGGCTACTAGTATCTCTCATCAAGACAACATGTTCTAGTAATCTAATAGTCCTCTTGCCTATTAGTGATTGCTTGTTGCCTTATGAGTATGTCACAGCCACAAGTACCTTTTCAACTCACACTTTGCATTTGTTTTATTTAAAACTCTTGGATATCTCTTCATTGTCTACAGGATAAATTTGAAACTCCTTTGCATAATCTGACCCCTAATCATAACCTAACCAACCTAACTGGGTTTGTGTCCTACTCCCATCTTATGCAGTTTGACTTCTAGCAGTCAAACCATGCATAGTTCCCTGAACAAACAATTTTGTTTCACTTATGTAGACCCTTAATTATACCTAGAATTCTACTTTCTATTCCCAGTCCAGTTAACTTGCCATATTCTTCCTTCTCTCAGGAGTCAGCTTAGGTATCACTTATAACTTTCCTTGATTTCCCAAGACAGATTTAAGAGTCCTTGCTCTATCTTTAAATCACCCCTTTTTTGTACCATTACTATAATGTTTATCACATTCTATTGTAATTCTCTTTTTACCTTTCAACTATAGCCCATAAGCTCCTTGAGAACAAGAACTTTTTCTTTTCATCTAGTGCTTAGCACAATGCCTGGAAGATAATAAGTGCTCCATAAATATTTGAGTTAAACCTTTATAAAATACGGGAACATAGGTGATTTATGAATATGTGTTAGCTTAAGACCTGAAAAATATGCAGTGCTGACAATCTCTCCTACAAAGCATGTTTTCATGAAAGATACTGCAAATATAGTTTAATATTCATTTTATAACATAAGCCACAATAATTCCACTGTAAACCCATTTTATGATTTATTTCCCAGTGGCAATAAGAAAAATTATCTACCTACTGCATTCAGTTCATTTAGGAAAAACATAAAACTTGAAAAATTTTAGCAAGCATAGACCTACAATTTATTGCCATTTATTTATGTTAGGTATTTTGGACCTTTTGCACAGAATTTTAAAATGTGTCTAGTGCCATCTGATAAGGTGGTTCTTGAACCTTTTCCTTCCTCTTTTGTCATATTAATATATCTAGCTTCTACAGTTTTGTATAATTGGTTTTATTATTTTTTTAATGGTGTATGATTTATTCTTAGAAACACATGGAACAAGCAGCTATACCCCTGATAAGTCATCTTTTAATTTAGCTACAGTTGTTGCTGAAACACTTGGACTTCGTGTTCAGGAAGAATCTGTAAGTAATTGTTTAGTTTGGCAATAACATGAATTAATTTTATGTCTTTTTAGGTCAGTTCTAAGAGAATTAAGCAAGATAATTATTTTATCTAAGGATCTTGGGTAAAGGCCTAAAACAAAACTTATGTTGTTAGAAAGGCCTATTTCTGTTGTCAGCCCAGTAGTCTCAGGAATCTAGAATCTAGAATTCTTGGGATATGGGTTGAGTCAAAATTTAAGGGAGTAATTATGGCAAAGAGATATTGTCAACTTTCTTCCCTTCGCTCTCTCTCATGCCCCATCCCTGCCCTCATTCCATCTAAGAGAAGACCTACACCTTTAGGCTGATTTCAGAATTGTTGTTTTGTTTTATTTTTTAGAGATAGGGTCTCACTGTGTTGCCCAGGCTGGAGTGCAGTGGCTATTCACAGGGCACTATAGCCTCAAACTCCTGGTCTCAAGTGATCCTCCCTCCTCAGCCTCCCACATAACTGGGACTACAGATGTATACCATCATGCCCAGCTAATATTTTTTTTTGTAGAGGTAGGGGTGTCACTATATTGCCCATACTGGTCTCAAACACTTGGCCTCAAAAGATTCTCTTGCTTCAGCCTCTCAAAGTGTTTAGATTACAGATGTGAGTCACCACACCCAGCTGTATTCTTACTAAATTGTCTTGCTGTTGAATTTCTAAAAATTGAATTTGTTTTTCATGACATTTGGATTTTTTTTGTCCTTACTAGTTTTAAATTCATTCTTAAATGATAGTGGGTAGTTTTTAGCCTTTGAAGTTTAAATGTATTTTATAGTTTCTAATTCCCTTTTACCCATAAACCCAGCAAGTCATAGCTTAGACACCAAATAGATCAAGGGAGCTGAAATCTAACGACATGCTGCTCAGCATGTGATCCATGGGCCAACAACATCTGCTTCACTTTTGAAGTTTGTTAGAGATGCAGGATCTCAGACCTACTGAACTTGCATTTTAACAAGATCTCCAGTTGACTTGTGTGCATGTTAAAGATTGAGAAACTCGGTTCTTTAAAGGATTATTTTAAATTTGTCTCCCCTCAGTATGAATAATTATCTCTATTCCCTTCTCTGCATCTTAATCTTATTTTTTAGAATTGGAGTTTTATATTCAAGTAGTAGAATATACATATGTAAAATATTGATGTTTTTCTCTTTAAACTTAAAGTATGCTTCATATTTTTCATTGTGGTGAAATTAACATAAATCATTTTGAAGTATACAACGACATTTAGTGCATTAACATTATTATGCAACTACCACTTCTATCCAGCTCCAGAGCATTTTTATCACCTTCAGAAGAAAACCTCATACCCATTAATCATGTATCCCCATTCTCCTCCCTTCATCCTCCCACCTCCCACTTGACATCCTCTGGCAACTACTTATCTGCTTTCTATCCCTATAGATTTACCTACTCTGAATATTTCATATAAGTGGAATCATACATTATGTGGCCTTTGTCTGGCTTCTTTTACTTAATATATTTTTGAGATTTATCTACATTGCAACATATATCAGTACTTCATCCCTTTTTAAGAAAGAACAAATTCCATTACATCGGTATGCTTCATATTTTACTCTTAAAGGAAACTCAAGGTCCCATGAGCCCCTTTGGTGATGAGCTCTACCACTGTTTGGAAGGAGATCACAAGAAACAGCCTTTTGAGGAATCTACAAGAAATACTGAAGATAGTTTAAGGTAATTAGGGGCATGTTGGTAAAAACTTATATGCTATTGGGGAGATCCCATTACAATGAATTCCATATAATTAAACCATTTCTCTCCTTCAGCATATGGTTTGTTATTCTGGTTATATAAATTTTTACTTTAAAAAATTGTCTCCCTAGTTTATGACCGATTGAGAGCTTTTTTGTGTTACAGTAGAAAGGTGGATATCATTTTTAGCTACTTTCCATGTTTCTATCAAGTAGTACTTGTTCCCAGCCTGTCACTCTGTTCCTTTAAAGACCCAGTCATCCCTTCGGTGTTTATAATTCCAAAAGCTAGATGTTGTACAAAATGCATCTAGAAGCTTGAATGTGCTACCAAGATTGTGTTGCATCTCATTTTTACTAATTTCAGAATATCCATTAACTAATAATACAGCTATTCCATATCAGTGGGGGATGGTTATAGGACCCCCTCCCATGTGGGTACCAAAATCTGAAGATGCTCAAGTCCCTTACATAAAATGGCCATCATCGTTGCATATAACCCATGCACATCCTCCTGTATATTTTATGTAACTTCCAGATTATTTGTAACACCTAATACAGTGCCAACATATTAGTCCATTTGCAAGATTCACCATAGTACTTGGTACATGGCAAACTCAAGTTTTGCCTTTTGGGATGCTGTGAAATTTGGGGTTTTTTACCCAAATTATTTTCTAACCACATGGTTCAATCTATAGATGCAGAACTCACAGATAAGGAAGGCCACCATACCTGTATTTATGTAGCATTATGGTTTTTAAAAGAGCAAATTATTGTCTAGCCACATGATTGAATCTATAGATGCAGAACCCACATATAAGGAAGGCCACCATACCTGTATTTATGTAGCATTTTGCTTTTTAAAAGAGCTTTTGGTTTTTAGATATATATATACATCACAGTTACTATGTCATCTTAGTAATTCATTAAAGTAGATTTTGTTACCCCCATTTTTTGGTTTATCTTAAAGATGACAGACATGCAACTCCAAAAAAAAGTTAAATGTCTTGTTTAAGGCCACATAGCTATTAAGTGGTAGAGCCAGAGATCTTAGCCCACATCTTCAAACTTAAAGTTACTGCTCTTTCTACAGGATTTTCTCTGCTAGAGACAGGCTGAGTCTTAATTTATATTCAGTTCTGTAGTGTAAGAATTTTGTTTACTGGAGTTACTCATGATAAAATGTCAAAACCAAAGAACTTAGGTTCTCAGTGCAGTTTATTAAAATATGATTTTTTTTTTTTTTTTGAGACAGAGTCTCAGTCACCCAGGCTCAACTCACTGCAACCTCTGCCTCCCAGGTTCAAGTGATTCTTATGGCTTAGCTACCCAAGTAGCTAGGATTACTGGTGTGTGCCACCACCCCCGGCTAATTTTTGTATTTTTAGTAGAGATGGGGTTCACCATGTTAGCCAGGCTGGTTTCAAACTTCTGGCCTCAAGTGAGCTGCACGCCTTGGCCTCCCAAAGTTCTGGGATTACATGCATGAGCCACTGTGCCTGGCAAAAGATGATTTTGTTTTTTTGTATGATGAAGTTATTTAAAGCACTTAGGAAAAATTTTTTTAAATGTGCATATTATGATATTAAGAAATACTTCCTATGTCATTTTCCTCTACTTTTCCTCTTCACTTTCGTCATGTAAATGAAGAGAAGCCAAAAGCTGTACCTTGTCTTAAATTTTGGTTAATCATTTACCTCTAATAGGTAGATAAGACCTTACTATTCGTTCTGTATTAAAGAGTTATTATCACTTTTTATTTAGATTTTCAGATTCTACTTCAAAGACTCCTCCTCAAGAAGAATTGCCTACTCGAGTGTCATCTCCTGTATTTGGAGCTATCTCTAGTATGAAAACTAGTTTAGATTTGAATACAAGTTTGTCCCCATCTCTTTTAGAAACTGGGGGAAAAAATCATGTGAAAACACTTCCTTTTAGCAACACTTGCATTTCTAGATTAGAAAAAACTAGATCAAAATCTGAAGATAGTGCCCTTTTCACACATCATAGTCTTGGGTCTGAAGTAAACAAGATGATTAGCCAGCCATCTTCTAATAAACAGATACTTATAAATAAAAATGTAAGTGAATCCACAGGTGAACAAGATAGGACTGATCACATTAAAGATTCTAACACTGATAAACATTTGGAGCCCCTGAAATCATTGGGAGGCCGAACATCCAAAAGGAAGAAAAGTGAGGAAGAAAATGAACATGAAATAAACTGCCCCCAGGCTTCTTTTGATAAAGAAAATGCTTTCCCTTTTCCAATGGATAATCAGTTTTCCATGAATGGAGACTGTGTGATGGATAAACCTCTGGATCTGTCTGATCGATTTTCAGCTGTTCAGCGTCAAGAGAAAAGCCAAGGAAGTGAGACCTCTAAAACCAGATTTAGGCAAGTGACTCTTTATGAGGCTTTGAAGCCTATTCCAAAGGGTTTTTCCTCAAGCCGTAAGGCCTCAGGTAGCAACTGCACATTGCCCAGAGATTCCCCAGATGAGCCCTGTTTACAGGAATGCATCATCCTTCAGCCCTTGAGTAAATTCTCTCCAGACAATAAACCAACATTACAGATAAAAGAAGAAAATGCTGTCTTTAAAATTCCTCTTCGTCCACATGAAAGTTTGGAGACAGAGAATGTTTTAGATGACATGAAGGTTTGTGTTGAATGTTCAAGGATTTTGATTAAGATGGTTGCTTGTGATTTCATTTAGAGCTAACAATTATTTCTGTTTTAGGGTTCTGGTTCTCATGAGCCAATAAAAATTAAGACCAGGTCAGTCCATGGAGGATGTGAACTTGCATCAGTTCTTCAGTTAAATCCATGTAGAATGGGTAAAATAAAATCTCTACAAAACAACCAAGGTGTGTACACCATAAACAGGATCTCCACATTTCATTTAAAAAATGACTTTTTTAATGACTTTAAATTGAATGTCATTATTTACTTTTTTAAATAGATTGAATTTTTTTGGAAAAAAATCTTATTTCTTCCTGCATGTATCTGTATTTACAGGATGATTCTCTCTGACTTCATTTTACCTGTGATTTTTATGTTCTTGTGCTTTTTGAAAAAATGAATTGAGATCTTTTGATACGTACTTTTATATATGATTTTGTAGATTTACTTATTTTATATAGTTATTTCTTGTGTGGATTTTTTTTTTTTTTTTTTTTTTTTTTTAGACAGAGTTTCACTCTTGTTGCCCAGGCTGGAGTGCAGTGGCAGGATCTCGGGTCACTGCAACCTCCATCTTCCGGTTTCAAGCAATTCACCTGCCTCAGCCTCCTGAGTAGCTGGGATTACAGGCCCCCACCTGTAATTTTTGTATTTCAGTACCCCACACCTGGCTAATTTTTGTATTTTAGTACAGACGGGCTTTCAACATGTTAGCCAGCTGGTCTTGAACTCCTGACCTTGTGATCTGCCCACCTCAGCCTCCCATAGTGCTGGGATTACAGGCATGAACTACTGCATCCAGTCCAATTTCTTGTTTTCTTTACAAAAGCTTTAACAAATTTAAACTATACAGAATTTTTAAAAATAAAAATTAGAATGGTCATTATCTAAACTATTTTTCACCCCATAGGACATTTGTCATTTTTCTTTGCATATACATGTATATCTGTAAATATATGCACGTATACATTTATACAGGTTTTTAAACTCCTTTAAAAACATTGTTTGCCCTAATACATAATATATATGCATCTTTTCATAATTTTGCTATCTTTTATTAATATTATTATTATTATTTGAGACAGGGTCTCATTCTGTCACCCAGGCTGGAGTGCAGTAGCATAATCATGGCTCACTGCAGCCTTTACCTCCCAGGCTCAGGTGGATCCTCCTATCTCAGCCTCCTGGATAGCTGGGACTATAAGCGTGCACCACCACACCCAGCTAATTTTTTTTTATTTTTTGAAGAGAGAGGGTTTCACTCTGTTGTGCAGGTTGCTCGCAAACTACTGGACTCAAGCCGTCTGCCTGCCTTGTCATCCAAAAGTGCTGGGATTACAGGCATGAACCACCCATGCCCAGCCTACTGTCTTTAAAAAAGGAATTCTTTTTTTTTTTTCAGCCACCAAACATTTCTATAGTTCAAGTGTAGTATTTTTTCTTATATTCTTCATTGGCAAGTTGTTCTTTTATTCTGGGTTTATTTTCCCTTTTTCCTGAAGCACGGTCATTAGTTGTTTTTCCAGAAAGTGTTTTAGTCTCTATATGAAAACATTTTTTCACTCTCATTCATGATTTTTTTTTAGCTTTTTAAATATTTTTTCACGGTTGCCCTAGGGATTACAGTATACCTACTTAGCCTTTAACAATCTGCTTGGAGTTAATGTTGTACCACTTCATGTTCTATAACTACACTTTATGTGTTGCCATATATTATATCTGCATACATTGAAAACCCCAACAAACAATATTTTAGTTTTTAATTTAAAAAAATTTTTAATTGAAATATAAATCACATACCATAAAAATCACCCATTAAAATGTTCAATTCAGTGGTTTTGGTATACCCACAGAGTTGTACAACCATCACTATAGTCTAGGCTTAGAACGTTTTCATCACTTTCCTTCCCATGTCCCCTCCACAGTCCTAGGCACCATGAATCTACTTTCTCTCTCGTAGGCTTGCCTATTCTGGAGTTTTCATATAAATTGAATATAATATATGCTCTTTTGTTACTTACTTCTTTTACTTGGCATAATGTTTTCAGTTATCATCTGTGTTACAGCATATATCAATATTTTATTTCTTTTTATTAACATTTTTATTGTATAAGTATACTGTATTTTAGGCATTTATTAGTTGACATTTAAGTTGTTGTCACTTTTTTGCTATTATGAAAATGCTGCTATGAACATATTATACAGGTTTTTGTGTGGATGTATGTTTTCATTTTTCTTGGATTATATGTAGGAGTGGAATTGTTAGACCATATGCCAACTCTACATTTTACCTTTTGAAGGACTGCCTATATTCCAAAGCAGCTACACTGTTTCGCATTCCCAGCAGTATGTGAGGGCTTCAGTATCTCCACATCCTCACTAACACTTGTTATATCTTTTTGATTTTTGCCTTCTCATTGTAGTTTTGGTTTGTATTTCCTTGATGGCTAATGATGTTGGGCATCTTTTCATGTTTAGTGGCCATTTGTATATCTTCTTTGGAAAACTGCATATTTAGATTGTTTGCCCATTTTTAATTGGGATATTTGTCTTTTTATTATTGAGCTGTGAGAGTTCTCTATATATCTTAGATATAAGTCCTTTACCAGACATATGATTTGCAAAAATTTTCTATTCTTTAGGTCCCATAATATTTTAAAGTGATGAGAATTTTTGAAATCAGTTTTTTAATTACATATTCTTTACCTTTACCTAAGATGTAACATCCTTTGAAAATATCCAGTGGAGTATAGATCCGGGAGCAGACCTTTCTCAGTATAAAATGGATGTTACTGTAATAGATACAAAGGTAAGTAAAAAAGTAAAACCAAAACTCATTTGACTCTTATTCTAATGAGTTGTTAGTCAGCCTCCTCCCCTAACTCACTCTATCACCTTAAGATAATCAGATACCTCTTAAAATCTACATTTATTTATGCAGAAAATTAAGAAATAAAAATGCTTATTCTTCTAACTTTGTGGTATTTTTTGAAGGGTCATAATACTTTCTGAGTTTAAAGGCCTTTGCTGAAAAACATTAATATAGTTTTTAAAAGAATACAATGGCCAGGCGTGGTGGCTCACACATATAATCCCAACACTCTGGGAGTTTGAAGAGAGAGAATCACTTGAAGTCAGGAATTCGAGACCAGCCTGGGCAACATAGCAAGGCCCTATCTCTACAGAAAATTTTAAAATTAGCTGGATGTGGTGGTGCATACCTATAGTCCTAGCTACTTGGGAGGCTGAGGTTGGGAGGATCCCTTGAACCCAGGAATTCGAGGCTGCATTGAGCTATGATCACACCACTGCACATCCAGCCTAGGCAACCAGAGCAAGACTTTGTCTCATAAATAAATAAGAATAATGCAAAATGCTACATATCTTAAATAATTTTATTTTTCAATAAAATAATTCATCATGTCTTCATTAGCTTTAAAATTATGTACCATAAAATGTATTATTTAAGCTGTCTATTTTTTAAAATAGTGTATTTTTTTAAAATTAAAATTCATAGTGGAAATAGTTTTTTGCCTTGTATTTAGGTTCTGTATAGTTTCAGAAGTTCCTTTTCACTTGGTAGCGTCTAATAACAAAGTATTTAACATTCACTGAGTAATATATGCCTATCAAGAAATTAAATTTAATTTTTGAAATTGTTGTCAGTGTACCTTGATATTCATTACTATGAGGCAGATTGGAAAAGAAAACGCAGGAAAAGTTCAAGGGTATTCAGTGGTAAATAATTCTCCCTTTCCTTAGCAGCAGTCCTTCTTTTCCTGGGCTTGATTATATTGAACCTAAAATGTTTTGTAAGCAGTAAAATCTAAATCCTTATCTTTTCGTAAAGTATAAAAGTGAAAAGAGCTTAATGCTTGAAAGTGGTAAAATATATGTTATGTGTATTTTACCAAAATGTTTTGTAAAAAATAAATATAAGGCCATAAAGGAATAATTGTTAAAATTTTTTTATTTTTAAAATATTTATTCAGGATGACAGTCAGTCAAAATTAGGAGGAGAGACAGTGGACACGGACTGTACGTTGGTTAGTGAAACCGTTCTTTTAAAAATGAAGAAACAAGAGCAGAAGGGAGAAGAAAGTTCAAGTAAGATTTGTTTTTGTTTTTGTTTTTTATTTTAATAAAAACATTGAGTGAAGTTTGTAGTTGTGCCGATTGCACTGATGAGCTCAAATGACCTCTTCATCATCAACCAGGATTTTTCCTGCTCTGTTAATTTTATGTTCCTCTTAGGAAAGCTCAGTTTCAGTATGTCAGAAAAAAGATATATATTTAACCAAAATAATTTCATTTCAGAAAAGATTCATATGGCTTTCAGGGGTTTGCAAATGGCAACCAGCTACCAGTTTTGTAAATAAAGTTCTGCCAGAGCACAGCCTTATTCATTTCTTTGTATATTGCCCATGTTTGCTTGTTCCATACAGCTGCAGAGTTGAGTAGTTGGTGCAGAGACCTCATAGCCCCACAAGCCTGAAATATTTTCTGACCCTTTAAGAAAAAGTTTGCTGATCCCTGGTTTAGACAATTTTTTATAAATGGTGTAACAGGAAGTCTTGAGTCCTGTGTTAGAATTAACGTTTTCTAAAGCAATTTGATGAGGAAAGAAAGGAGAATTCTACTGAGAAGTGTTAGTATAGATTTACAGATTAACATTCAGAATCATAGTGTATATGCTAACTGAATCTGCCATATTCCACCTCTCCTGATAAGGTAATTTGGCCAAATTAGTGATCTACAGCCCTTTGCAGTGAGAAACTATTAATTCTTCACCTAAAGTCTTGATTTTTCCAGAAGAAATGAGAACAAGAGGAGGATTTTGGTTAGCACTGCCTTAGCAGCATTCCAACTGTAGAGGCACATCACATGAGAACAGCTAGACTAGAAACAGTTGTCATTTATTACCGTTATGTATTAAAGGGCGAGGGCCTGCCACATGGGGAAGCAGTGCTAAAAGCAGAGACATTTCTCAGTGATCATCTGTTAGAAGTCAAGTACATTGAGGCTGGGTATGCATTCCTTACCTTCTGGTGAATTTTCTATAGTCTACCTCCTCAAAGCAAAAAAATAAAGTAGTCTTGCCCTGGCTTCTTTTGAAACAGCTTATCTTTTGCTTCCTTAAATGCAGTAAATGAAAGAAAATTTTAGAAGTCTTTGCCTTAATTATTTGTTCTTTAATGATAAATAACAACCATATGATGAAACAGATGGTTGCCTAGGTAGGTAAGCCAATAACTATTAAAAGAAAAAACCTTCACTGTCGTTTATTGTCATTTTATGGTTTGTATGACACTAAATAACTTGTCTTAAGAGGATACTTTGCTTTTAAAATTATTTTGTTCCTGGTACCAGCCTCTGATCATGTTTTTCTCACTTTTGTAGAAAAGAGAAAATCTAAAGTATGACCACTTAGGCTTTAAATCTATTCAGAAGACAGTAGTTTCTCAAATTTATTTGAAGCAAGTATCATGTGAAAGACAAATTAGCACTTGGACTAATGTGGGGAAGTTATTATAGAGATAATTTTGGCTAATAAAGTCCTATATATACTATTGCTACGTAATGAATGAATCACTTGAATAACTCAGAGGATTCAAACAGCATCATTTTCTTATCTTCATAGTTTCTGTGGCTCAGGAATTCGGGAAAGGCTTGGCTGATCAGTTCTGTTTCAGGGTCTCATGCAATTGTAGGCAGATGGTGGCTGGAACTGAAACAGCAGAGGGCTGGGCAGTTGGAAAGTGACTTGGCATCTCCTCTTTCATTCTCAGGGCTTACTCATATAGGCTCCTTTGAGCTTCCTTTTCACATGGAGGCTAAGTTCCCAGAGTCAGCACCCCAAGAGAACAAAACAGAAGTAGGTGGCATTTTTATGATCTCAGAGGTAACATAGTGTCATAAAGATCTGCACAGGCATAAAGGAAAATGAACTCAGTGACACTCATTGGGAAGAGTGTTGATATCATGTTGTAAGAACAGCACATGAAATAAGAGACATTAGTGAGGTCATATATGAAAGAAAAAAATTACCCCATAAGGTAAAACTTTTCCAACATTTCGAATTGGTTTAAAATGAAATATACCGCCAGGCATGGTGGCTCACACCTGTAATCCTAGCACTTTGGGAGGCCGAGGTGGGTGGATCACCTGAGGTCAGGAGCTCAAGACCAGCCTGGCCATCATGGTGAAACCCTATCTTTAAAAAAATAAAAAAAATAAAATAAAATATACCAATAAAAATTTCATATTACTGCCAATATTTCAGTTCAGAAAATTTTCATGCACCTACTCTGTGTTAGACCTACTAGGTGCTCTGATAGAAAGATCAACAAGGACGTATTCTCTGTCTTCAGGTATTTCACAATCACAAATCAAACAAAAATAAATCAGCAATTTAACATATTGTTTTACAAACAGCTTATACAGAATGCTCTGAGGATGCCTAGCACAGTGCCTGGTGCATAGAAGTTATATTTTATTTACAAATTTGACATTCAGCATGCAGAATAAATGTTTAATCATTAATATATATCAAGCAAAAATTTTGTAGTAGGAAGTATTTTAGGAACTAAAGATAACAAACAGAACAAAAGTACTTACCTCAGGGAACTTACATTCTAATGAGAGAAATAAGCAATTATAGATATGATAGATGATGGTAAGTGCAGGAGAGAGAAAGGTAAAGCAAGGTAAGAATGAGAGAGTGCTGCAGGTTGGGAAAGGTAATAATTATATAGAATAATCTCAGCAGACCTCTTTTCTGTCATATTTGTTAGCCAACTGGATTTAAACTCTGGTGTTTTTAAAATGTGATTATATAACAGGAAATGTAGTTAGATCTGTGACGATGAATTTATCACTTTCCATTTCAAATATGGCATTGAATTTTTAATTTCTAGTAATACTAAACTACCAGATGCTAATGATGATGCAAGAAAATACTTTTTTTGCTACTTCATTACAAAACTAAGCATGAGAGGCCAGGCACGGTGACTCACACCTATTATCCCAGCACTTTGGGAGGCCAAGGCAGGCTGGTCATTTGAGGTCAGGAGTTTGAGACCAGCCTGGCCAACATGGTGGAACCTCGTCTCTACTAAAAATACAAAAATTAGCTGGGCATGGTGGCGGGCGCCTGTAATCCCAGCTACTCCAAAGGCTGAGCAGAGGATTTCTTGAACCCGGGAGGCGGAGGTTGCAGTGAGCCGGTATCATATCACTGCACTCCAGTCCAGGTGACAGAGCAAGACTCTGTCTCAAAAAAAAAAAAAAAAAAGCATGAGTAAAGGACATTTAAAGCCATAACATAAAGCCTTTGTAAACTCCCAGAGTTGGGAGTTTATTCTTACCTCATGCATGAATTACTAAAATTGAACCTTATTGTAAGAATCATGATTTAAGAAGTGTCTTTTTAAATACTTCATTGCATACATTACAGTTTGTTACTCACTTAGAGTAACTGAATTAACACTCAGCATTACGGCTTACAACTAACATTCTTAGAATCGTGTTTAGCATGTGTCCACAAACACTTCACTACATGCATTACATCTATACACCAAAAGATCACTTTTCGCAGCCAGGCCTGCAACCCTCACTGTAATAATCATGGTTTAAAGAAATGCCTTTAAACACTTCATTACATACATTATAGTTTGTTACTCATTTATATTCACTAAATTTAACACTCTTAACAAGGCAGCTTACAACCAACATTCTTAGAATTATCCTTTACATATGTGTCTACAAGCATTTCACTACTGATATTACATCTATTCACTGTTACATCTATTACAAGAGTATTAAAGAATACTCTCTTCAGAGTAAGGCCTGTAATTCCACATTTTTTTTCTCTTTTTAAAAGAATTTTAAATTCTTAAACTTTTATTTTAGGTTTGCGGGTACATGGGAAGACTTGTTACATAGATAAACATATGTCATGGGAATTTGTTGTACATATTATTACATCACACAGGTATTAAGCTTCGTACCCAATATATAATCCACATTTTAACAACCATGGTTTAAGAAGTGTCTTTAAGAACTGCATTCCATTGTTGTGTGGCAGTTAATGCAGTTTCGTGTTGGTCTACATAGGAAGCAAAAGCTTGCTTGTTGCCCTAAGCCAATGCTCTTTTACATAGATGAAGAAAGAAAAATGAATGATAGCTTGGAAGATATGTTTGATCGGACAGCACATGAAGAATATGAATCCTGTTTGGCAGATAGTTTTTCCCAAGCAGCAGATGAAGAGGAGGAAATGTCTGCTACCACAAAGAAACCACACAGTAAGATTATTTTCTCTATAATTATGGCTTCTCAGTTGCAGAATTCAGTAAGTTATCAAGCTAATTAACAAAGGCTTGATGACATATCAACAATTAAAGTTTCATATTTCACATACAAATTTTTTTCCGTTTTTTAAAATTTTGAGATAATTTCACATTAATAAGAGTTCTAGAAAATTGTTTGGCATTCTCATGTACCTTTGACTCAACCTCTCCTTATGTTAACATGTTATATAGCTATAGAATATTTATTAGAACTAAGAAACTAATCTTAGTTTGGTATTATAAATCTCTTCCTAAATATATATAAAGTTGATAAAAAAGTTTTGAGAAACTTCTGTTAATTATTAAATTAATTGTAATAGCAGTAGAAAGAAAAAATTTTGTAGAACATTCAGATCCCGCCAGGCAGAGTGGTTCACACCTGTAATCCCAACACTTTAGGGGGCCAAGGCAGACGGATTGCTTGAGCTCAAGAGTTCAAGACCAGCCTGAGCAATATGACAAAACCTTATTTCTACAAAAATTAGCTCAGTGTGGCGACACATACCAGTGGGCCCAGCTACTTGTGGGGCTGGGGCGGGAGGATCACTTGAACACCCAGGAGGTTGTGGCTGCTTGAGCGAACCACCCACTGTACTCCAGCCTGGGCAACAGAGTGAAACCCTGTCTCAAAAAGTAAAAATTAAAAAATCATAAAAGATAGATTCAGATCTATTTTCTGTTGTGAATGCTTCATCTTACCAGACAAAATACCTAATGTAACCATGTGTATTAGTCTTAAAATCTCTTGCATTAGAAGCAGTAATTTTGTAATGTAGGATAGCAATCAGAAAAAGAATACTCTAACTGAAAAGCTAAGTGGTTAATTTGGATTGAAAATTGTAATTTTTGCTAACTCTGTTTTCATTATGATTAAATTGGTCTGAAATTTTAATCTGGTGCAAAGATTGTTTTATGCTGGTTTAAGTGAACATACCTTCTGCTGTGGCACAATCTTGATTATGCTCATGTTTCCATTTGGTTTTTAAAACAACAGCCCTTAACTCAAAAGTGAATGAGACCCAAACCAAAGATAGAGGACAGTATACTTTTCCTTGCTTAGTCCATGGCAAGAACTCCATTGAGTAAATATTGTAATAAAAATTTACAGCTGTTCAGTATACTTTTTCCCCCAAGAAGGACCTTTTGCAAATAGATTTCACTTCAAAGAAAAAGAATATTTTCTTGCGAAGATGTACTTATTAATTTTTGTTCCCTGTTTTAAGTTACATTTGACATTGACTATCCCAGAATTTCTTCTCAGTTAGCTTTTCTGACGGTGCTGCACTGTTCTTTTTATTTATCGCAAATTCTATTTCCTAGAATATCCCCAAGACTCTTTCTCCCTCGCAACTTGTTTTCCCTCACAGCTTTTATTAGCTCCACCTCTGAAAATAATTCCAAATGTGCATCTTTAGTCTTGCATTTCTGAGTACTGTGAGATACTTTTGTGTCTCTGCAGCTTAAATGTAATATGTCTAGGCCAATTTCCTTTACTTCCTGCCAAATAATCTTCAGACTTTTTAATTTTTCCTAGTCACCCAGGCATATAATTTAGGATTTATTGTATATTTATTTTCTCAACCCAGTTACTACCTTACATGTGCTTTCTCACATAAGCCTTAACTGTCTACCTGCTTAATGTTTAACTCTCTGCTTGCTTAATGCCTGTTTTCCTCACTGTAATATAAACCCCATGAAGACAAGAGACCTCGTCTCTCTTGTTATACATTGTATGTCCAGAACTTAGCACAATGCTCAGTAAATTTTTATTCTTCGAGTAAATGCTAGTAGTTGGTTCTTTGAGTCTAGACATCTTAGGAGTCAGGTCCCAAGTTCTGAGCTCAAGTTCTTAATCTTTGTCACCAATGTTCTGATAAAATCTTTAATCTGCTTATTCCCTAGTTATAACTTACCTTAAAGATGCATAATAAAAATCAACAGGATTGGTGGGAATGTAAATTAGTACAGCCATTATGGAAAATAGTATGAAGATTCCTCAAAGAAATATGGAGCTAGCATAGATCCAGCAGTCCCACTACTGGGTGTGTATCCAAAGGAAAGGAAATCAGTATGTCAAAGAGATACCTGCACTCATGTTTACTGCAGCACCATTCACAATAGCCAAGATATGAAATCAACCTAAGTGTCTATTTAGAGTTGAATAAAGAAAATGTGGCCATTAAAAAGAACAAAATTCTGTCATTTGTGCAAACATGGATGGGCTTGGAGAACATTATATTAAGTGAAATAAGCCAGGCACAGAAAGATAAATACCACATGTTCTTATTCGTATATGGAAGCTAAAAAAGTTGATCTCATAGAAGTAGAGAGTAGAATAGTGGTTACTATAGGTGGGGAAGGCGGGGATAGTCAAAGGTTGGTTAATGGATATAAAAATATAGCTAGCCAAGCAAGGTGGCAGGTACCCATAGTCCCAACTACTCAAGAGGCTGAGGCAGGAGGATAGCTATAGCCCTGGAGTTCTTGGCGTAGCGCTGTATTGGAGTTCTAGGGTATGGTCCATATTAAGTTTAGCATCAATACGGCAGCCTCTTAGAAGGAGGAGACCACTAAGTTGCTTAAGGAGGAATAAACTGGCCCAGTTTAGAAATGGAGCAGGTAAAAACGTTAATGATGATCAGTAGTGGTACAGTACCTATGAATTGCCCCTGCACTCTAGCCTGGGCAACATAGCAGACCCCATCTCTAAGAAAAATAAGAGGGCTGGGCCTGGTGGCTCACGCCTGTAATTCCAGCACTTTGGGAGGCCAAGATGGGCAGATCACGAGGTCAGGAGATTGAGACCATCCTGGCTAACATGGTGAAAACTCAGTCTCTACTAAAAATACAAAAAATTAACTGGACGTGATGGTGCATGCCCGTAGTCCCAGCTACTTGGAGGCTGAGGCAGGAGAATTGCTTGAACCTGAAGGCAGAGGTTGCAGTGAGCTGAGATCATGCCACTACACTCCAGCCTGGGTGGCAGAGCAAGACTCTGTCTTAAAAAAAAATAAAATAAGGAAACAAAAAGCTAAATAGAAGGACTAAGTTGTAGTGTTCTATAGCACTATATGGTTACTATAATTAACAACAACTTACTGTATGTTTTCAAATAGCTAAAAGCACAGATTTTGAATGTTCCCAACACAAAGAAATGACAAATGTTTGAGGTGACAGATATGCTAATTACCGTAATTTGATCATTACACATTGTGTACATATATCAGGATATCATGCTTCATAAAGATGTATAATTACATGTAAATTTAAAATAATACAAGCAAAAAATTCTTAATCAATAGAACTAAAATATATATATAAATTTTTTTTGAGACGGAGTTTTGCTTTTCTTGCCAGGCTGGAGTGCAATGGCTCATCTTTGTTCACTGCAACCTCTGCCTCCTGCGTTCAAGTGATTCTCCTGCCCCAGCCTCCCGTGTAGCTGGGATTATAGGCATGTGCCACCGTGCCTGGCTAATTTTGTATTTTAGCAGAGACAGGGTTTCACTATGTTTGCCAGGTGATCTCGAGCTCCTGACATCAGGTGATCCACCCACCTCAGCCTCCCAAAGTGCTGAGATGACAGGTGTGAGCCACCACGCCCGGCCAAAATTAATATTGAAAGCTGCTTTTGTTGTTGTTTCTTGTCAAATGATAATAACGGGCATCTGAGTATTTCTTTTAAACTAAAATATTTTCTGAGATAATGACTTTTAGCTGTGGAGTAATTTTGAGATAAATGAGACAATCAGCACCCTCCTTATTATGCATATGCAAAAGAATGGAAAAAGTAGTTATAGAAAATTTAAATGAGTTGCTCAGAGGCCTAGAGCATGAAACCCAATAAAAATGGAAGTTTGAAATGTCATTTTCTTCCAAGCTAGCTAACTATTTCCCATTAAGTTCTACATTTAGTTTGTAATGTGCATGCTTTGTTTATAGCTCATGGTGATAAACAAGACAAAGTCAAGCAGAAAGCATTTGTGGAGCCATATTTTAAAGATGATAAAAGGTAAGTTGGTTTTGATTTACACCAGCAATGTGACTGGAAGGACAGTAGAGCTGTCGTTTATTTCTCTCTCTCCTTTTTTTTTAAGACAGAGTCTCACTCTGTCTCCCCGGCTAGAGTGCAATAGCTTAATCTCAGCTCACTGCAACCTCTGATTCCTGGACTCAAGCAATACTCCCACCTCAGCCTCCCTAGTAGCTGGGACTACAGGCACATACTACCACACCCGGCTAATTTTTTAAATTTTTTGTAGAGACAGGGCTTCACCACGTTGCCCAGTCTGATCTTGAACTCCTGGGCTCAAGTCATCCATCTGCCTCAGCCTCCCAAAGTGCTGGGATTACAGCCATGAGCCACCACGCCAGGTCAATAGAGCTGTCTTTGTCAGAGTATCTCTAAACTGATAAATTGCTACTTTGGTTAAATTAAAATTATTTACTTTATGGTCATAAAAAAGAGACTCAAGCATAAAAACGACAAATTTTACAAAGAAGAAAATTTTTACCACCATCACCTTTTTCTTGTCAGTGGTAATAGTGATTTTCTCTGTGTGCGTGTGTGTATTTTTTTTCTTTTTTAAGACGGAGTTTTGCTCTGTCGCCCAGACTGGAGTACAGTGGCACGATCTCAGCTCACTGCAACCTCTGTCTCCTGGGTTGAAGTGATTCTCCCACCTCAACCTCCCAAGGTAGCTGAGATTACAGGTGTCCACCACCAGGCCAGGATAATTTTTGTATTTCTGTTAGCAACGGGGTTTCACTGTGTTGGCCAGGCTGGTCTCAAACTCCTGACCTCAAGTGACCCACCCGCCCCAGCCTCCCAAAGTGCTGGCATTACAAGCATGAGCCACCACACCCAGTCTCTCTGCTTTTTTTTTTTTTTAAATTGTCTTTTTATTCTATCTTATTTTCAACTTGGGTTATTTATTAAATTGTATAAGTTTTATGTAGTATAAGACTTTAGGTAAAGACTTAGGTTTATTATGCTTCAGAATTATTTTATAAGGATTTCTGAATCTTCAAAAAACAAAACAAAAAACCCTTAAGCATTTTTTGTTGTTGTTGTTGATTTTGAGACAGAGTTTTGCCCCTGTTGCCCAGGCTGGAGTGCAATGACGCAATCTCAGCTCACTGCAACCTCCGGCCTCCTGGGTTCAAGTGATTCTCCTGCCTCAGCCTCCCGAGTAGCTGGGCTGGACTACAGGCACCTGTCACCACGCCCGGCTAATTTTTTTGTATCTTTAGTAGATACAGGGTTTCACCATGTTGGTCCAGCTGGTCTCAAACTCATGACCTCGGGTGATCCACCCACCTGGGCTTCCAAAGTGCTGGGATTACAAGCGTGAGCCACCACACCTGGCCCTAAGCATCTTGATATAACCATAATGCGACTTTCTGCCTTTTCTGCAAAGATTGCAAATTCTGTTACTTATAGTCACCTACTATTTGTTCTTAAAACAAATTGAAGACATAGTAATTCATTCAAAAAAATTGGTTTTCTCTTGAAGTTATGATGTTGGTAAATTGAGTTACTCAATAAGTAAAGTTACTCCTTTTATTTTTATTTCTGTTGAGAATTTTAGAAATCTAACAGGCCAAGATATTTTTTTTTTCATTCCTGTGAGATGCTGAAAGAGCTGTCATTTTGTTAATGCTTAATTCTTTTTCTTTAGTTACCAGTTTTCCAAACAAATGGTACTCTAGCATCCTAAATGTGACTAGGTTGTTTTTTGTTCAGATGTCATTATATACTAATGAATTTAAGTATATTTGATATGTTGTAATCCATTGCAGTCATTATCTTTAGAGATATTCAAATTGTCCCATCTTTGCCTAAAGGAAGCTTCTTTGAATGGCCACCCTAGTCATGTTTCATAGTTTTCTTGCTTGTGGTATCTGGACTCTGCCATTTTTCCTAGTTCTTTTTAGTGAGAAATGGTATTTAGGCCACAGTCTGGCTGCTAGGGTTTTGCATTAGTCATTGTTTCTAGGCCTTTTAGGTGGACAGAATTAGGAAGAAGGTTTTTTGTATCATTTTGATTTTTTAAGGTAGACTATACTCCATACTGATGGCTCTAACTGAAATTCAGGACCACAGGATATTTATGTAACCTCTTCTATCTTATGTCTGTATTTACTTTCCCACCTACCAAAAATCCCCCTTTTCAGTGCCACCAACGTAATTCTTTATTTTATTCCACAATACACATAAAGCAGTTTCAAAATAATACCACCAATAATATAATAAAATTTTTTGTATGCTCTTTTGTCCTTAACATGCATCCTTTTAGAAATGTACAGTCAAATCACTGTGTTTAAAGGCATTTGGAATAATTATTTTCTACGTAGTTAGGCCACCAATTCAGTACACAAGTTTATTTTAATTTGTTTTTGATTTTTTAGGACTTGGGTTTTCTTTTCATATTTAATTATTTTAAAAGCATATAAAACATAATGTATTATATATATAATGCATATAATGGACAGGAAGTATGATATTGTACCAGACTATAATACAAGTGTATTCAGATAAATCTCATTTCTATCCTTGGCCTCTGTATCTTATTAGTTCCCTATCCTTGTAGGTAATCATTTGTTTAAAATTTATTATTTTTCTTCCATCCTAAAAAATAGAAGCAAATACATGTATATAGTCATGCTCTCTATGACTCATATAGAATATTATATATTCTTCACTTCTTTATTTAACTATAGGTCCTGGAAATCACTCAAGCTGTATATAGTGATATTCCTTGTTTCTTTTTAGCTCCATAGTACTTTATTATGTGACTCTACCATAGTTTATTTCCTAGCAATGGACACTTGTGTTGTTGACAGTTATGCCTAGTGCACACAATGCTGCAGTGAATAACCTTGCACGTTCTCTTTTCATATTTTTGCCTGGAAATCATTGGGATAGATTCCGAGAAGTAGGACTGCAGGGTAAGAACTGTGATTTTCTAGGTGGCTTATGCCTGTATTCCCAGCACTTTGGGAGGCTTTGGCAGAAGGATCGCTTGAGCCCAGGAGTTTGAGACCAGCCTGGGCAACATAGTGAGACCCCATCTCTATAAAAAATTAAAAATTAGCTAGATGTGATGGTGTGTGCCTATAGTCCCAGCTACTCAGGAAGCTTAGGTTGGAAGGATTGCTTGAGCCCAGGAAGCCAAGGCTGCCGTGAGCTATGATCACACCACTGCACTCCATTCTGGACAACAGAGTGAGACACTGTCTCGAAAAAAAAAAAAAAAACTGTCATTTTAAATGTTTCATATTAGAGGTTCACTAGTTTTTTAGAAAATATATGAGTAGTTGTATTTATTCTGAAGCAGTTAGGTTGCTGGAGAATAAGAGGTGGATAGAGAGGCTAAAATTCTCAGTTACACTGTTGCTTTCCCCACTGAGAATACGAATACTGCAAAGCCTGGGAAGATGGATTGTGTAGTATCAGGGACAAGAAGCTTGTTTAAGTGATGCTTTGAGGTCTACTACAGATACCATTCCCTGCTTCATTATAAGACACTAAGAAGTGGAGTAGATAATATTCAGAGGAAAGGATATGGCCAAAATGCTATCTGCATAATCTTAGGATTCCATAAGCTCTTTGAAAGAAAATATAGTTGTGGCAATATTTTTTGTGTGTACTTTCTTGGTTTGCCTTTTTAAATTCACAGATCACACCAGAGTTGAGGGTTCTTGAGTTGAAACGAAAAAGTACCTATAACATAATAGAGTGACTAAAACTTCTCTTTTTGAGGGAAAGCGTTTGCCAGCTAGAGGGGCATGTATGTGATCTTTTCTTTGCACTTCCTTTTAAGGCATGCTTTCTTTTTCACTCTGCTTTACTGGGCTTTGCAGATACTGTGTTTTTTACAAATTGAAGGTCTGTGGCAACCTTGCTTTGAACAAATCTGTCAGCAGCATTTTTCCAATAGCATGTGCTTACTTCGTGTTTCTTTGTCACATTTTGGTAATTCTCACAATATTTCAAACTTCTTCATTATTATTATATCTGTTACAGTGTTCTGTGATCAGTGATCTTTGATGCTATTATTATAATTGTTTTGGGGCACCATGAACCATGCCGATAAAAGACAGCAAACTCAATCTATGAATATCCTGTGTGTTCTGGCTGCTCCATCATCCAACCATTTTCCCATCTCTCCTCCTCTCTTTGGGCCTCCCTATTTCCTGAGACACAACAACAGCGAAATTAGGCCAATTAAAGAACCCTGCAATGGGGCGCCAGGCACAATGGCTCATGCCTGTAATCCCAGAACTTTGGGAGCCACAGTGAGCGGATTGAGACCAGCCTGGACAACATGGAAAAGTCTCTACAAAAAATACAAAAAAATTAGCTGAGTGTGGTGGCACACACCTGTAGTTCCAGCTATTATACTGGGGAGGCTGAAGTAGGAGGATTGCTTGAGCCCAGGAGGTAGAGACTACAGTGAGCTGTGATTGCACCTCTGTGCTCCAACCTGGGAGACAAAGTGAGATTCTGTCTCAAAAAAAAAACTATGCTGGCCTCTAAGTATACAAGTGTAAGGAAGAGTTGCACATCACTTACTTTTAAATCAAATGCTAGAAATAATTAAGCTTAATGAGGAAGACATTTCAAAAGCCAAGATAAGTTAAAAGCTAGGCCTTTTACCCCAGTCAGCCAAGTTGTGATTGCAAAGGAAAGTTCTTTTTTTTTTTTTTTTTTTTTTGGATTTAAAAATAATTTTTTTTGATACCAAAACCTTTTTTTTTTTTTTTTTTTTTTTTTGAGATGGAGTTTCGCTCTTGTTACCCAGGCTGGAGTGCAATGGCGCGATCTCGGCTCACTGCAACCTCTGCCTCCCGGGTTCAGGCAATTCTCCTGCCCCAGCCTCCTGAGTCGCTGGGCAAAGGAAAGTTCTTCAAGAAAATCACAAGTGCTACTCCAGTGAAAACATCAATGATAAGAAAGTGAAACAGACTGGCCAGGCGCGGTGACTTACACCTGTAATCCCGCACTTT